CTGGGGGGCGGGGGGAGAAGGAAAAGCGGGAGGTGGAAAGATATTTGATCTCCTGGGACACAGGCCCTTAGCCCCTGGCCCTTTCCTCTCTGGTGCCCTGGGCAGTTTCCCTACTCACTGGGCAGTGCCATCCTCAACTAAGGATGGAGTCTCCAGGTCAGCCAGGTCCAGATGGCCCAGGCCAGGGCCCCCTCCTCCTCTAGATGTACCAGTATCAGCCCCAGAGCTCGGAGGGGAGCGAGAAAAAAGCTCATTTGGGAGTGGGTGGGCGTCCAGGCCAGTTTTCAAAGCTCTGGCTAGCTGTACCATTTCTTCTTTGGTTCCCTGGAGAAAGAAAAGCAATTTGCAAAACCGGGCAGCAGCCTGAAGTAGATTGTTCTGACTAAAATTAGCCCTGATATTCTGATGAGGCTGGGCACACTGACCTGTCTGGGACAGCTCAGAGAAACCCCCATCTCCATGGAGAAGACACAGGGGAGGCACAGTGTAGTTTGAAGCACATGAGGGACAGGAGCCAGTGTCTGGCCCCAGCAGACTGCCACCCACTCCACACCAGCCTGGAGATTACAGAGGGAAACCCAGCCCCAGGCAGCCTTTCCTGGGTGCCCGTGCCCTGAAGCTGGCTCCAGAAGAGGCACCGACGAGTGAACTTGCCAAGGGAGGGGGAGGCCCGCCTCCAGTGCCTGAGAAGCACCCTCTCTCGCGACCTGGAATGTCAAGTCTGGCCGAGTGCCCACCCAGAGGAGACGGGGTTGCTGATCTTAAATACCTGAAGGTCTGTCATGGAGAAAAATGGTCCGTGTGCTCTCGGAGGGCACTGCTAACAACCATGCAGAGCGGAAGACACGTGGGGACAAGCTGAGGATCCTGGCTGTCCCAGAAAGAACTACCGAACAGCCAAGGCTGCTCAGCAGTGGACCGAACTGCATCTGAAGGTGATGAGCATCCCGTCATTGGCAGTGGGAAGGAGAAGCTGGTGCCCAGGGAATTGCTGTACTGATGATGCCCTGTTCCAAGCAAGCTTCGGACTGGAGTGTGGCTGGCTGGCTCCCCAGGACTGAGGGGAATGGGGTGCAGGGGACCACCAAACACCCATCACTCTTCTCTGTGTGACCTGGTTGAAGCATCTCCCAGGGAAAATCCCACTATAGCTCCCTCCAGGCTTGATCTCTGTGGCTAACCCAGAGTCCTCTGAAAAATAGGGTGGTTTCAGCAAGTTTAGCAAAGGTGGGAATAGGCTGCCCTCCCCCTACTTTGTCCTTCTGGGAAACTCCTATCTGGTCACCAAGTCCTCTAGTCAGGATAAGTGACAAAGGGAAGAAGACCTGCATCTGGGAGGGCTGCTACCCCACCCAGGCAGAGTAGGCCTCTGCCCCAGCAATCTTTGAAAAGACAGGGGAGGGGGTGGGGGACTTGGACTTCCTCTGCTGTGCCCTTGGCTGTCCTCTGCGGCTGGACCCTTCACCCGCCTTGGCTCCAGGTGGATTAAGTCTGTCTGCAAGCTGGTGGAGGAAACAAGGTGATGGGGCCTGGAGAGGAGGGAAAAGTATAACCTGGGATATCTCTCCACTGGAACAGGTTTCAATGTAATCCAGGATTAATTAGGGTTGGGGTGAGGGGTGGAGAAAGGGACAGGGAGCCAAGCCCAGGGCCCCCAGGGAAGGTGGTGGTCAAAAGAGTTTTCACATTACCTCACCTCTCTTGGGACCCAGGTGTCCTAGTTCCACATGCACGCACGTGACCGTAAGGTTCCAGGTTCCTCCTCCCCTTTGGATAGGGCTGTATGTGAAGCAGAAGCTGAACCGGAACCTGGAGACTGAGGCCCATGGGGCAGAGACCCCCACCGCAGCTGGGGGGACAGGCATTGCTGTTGAAGCTGACTTTCCACTGGCGCTGCCAAGAGCTGGGTTGCCCTTGAGCCAAGGCTTTCACGTAGGGACAGGTGACTGGCTGGAAACCAGGCCCTTCGGCCTCTCACTCCTGCCACTCACCTGGGGTGGAGGCCCACCTTCTCCAAATTCTCAGCAGGGCAATGAGCGGGAGCCTCTCTGCATCCTCCACGCCCCTGGCCTCCTCCCAGGCTGCCATCCCACTGCCCCGGCCAGACACCTCTCACCACGGGCAGCTGATGGGGTGGCTAGCGTTTCAGGTGTCTGGGGATGGAATCCAGGTCGGGTTCCAAGACTACTAGTCCTTCCTTTCTTTCCCTCATGGATTTATTGGTCTCGGGCCTTCGGGCAGGAGCCCAGCTAGGAGGGCTCGAGACTCGGCAGCATGCGAAAGTGCCGGGGTCCAGGGCAGGTTGGGGAAATCAGTTTTCCGGAAGCAGCATGCGTCTAAGGGCGTGGGCTCTGGAGCCAGAGCAGCTCTGAAGCCAGATTCTGCTAATACCAGCTGTGTGGCCACAGACAGGCATCATCTCTTACAGCCTCAGTTTCCTTGTCTGTGAAGTGGGAAAAATACCTATGTTAGGGCTGAGGCGAGGACTAAATAGGATTAAGTCTGTAGTGCTATGCTACATAATAGTAGGCCTGCAGTATGGACCTTTCC